AATTGTAATTGTAAATTCATCTCATTATTATGATTAGCAAACAAAACTTTAATTTGTTATCCTAAACTAATGATAATACTTAAATTGTTACTATTATTATTATCATTGTCAATGATTAGCAATTAACATTGAATTTCCGGCTAAATGATTAATACAAAATAATGTTTTATATAATAAATTGTAACGACAATTAATATGACAACTTTTATATAATAATAATGATACTAAACAACAAAGTTAATTACTGTAACAATTAAGGCTCTAAATAATGATGATCATTGTAATTAATGAAAAGGTTAATGTTAAATCATGAGAATCAAATTAAACTGTCAATCAATTGTTTGTCTCTGTGTTTGGGTCAATAAAAATTGATGATGATAAAACTTATCATCAGTAATCAATATCATCAATGATCATTAAGATGATCATTCTAATTGTTGCTGTAATATATGACAACAATTAAAGAGGAAAAGGATGAACAATGGAAAAAAAATTTTCTTTTTCAAAAGGTAACAAGATAATGAGTTTCCTTTTCCTCCTTCTCATCATTATCTTCATCTTTATCATCATCATTGTCCATCTTTTGCTCTCTCTCTCTCCTTGAAAATGTCTTAACTTTGTGACCTATTGTTGTTGTGTCCAGTGTCTTACCAAGTGGTCAAGCAGTCAGGTAAATGCTGTATTGTTGTATATTGAAAAGGTAATAACAAGATATGTCTGTATAAGAATAGCTTGTTACCATGTGGAAGATGATGATGAAGATGATGAGGAAGATGAGGAGGCAAAAATATTAGTGGTGAAAGATGAGTTTACCTTTTTTTTCAATGGAAAATTATCTTTTCTCTATCATCTTTCTAGTTTTTTCTTCACAATCCTCATCATCATCATCATCCTCCTCCTCCTTCTCTATGTATCTAAACCTTAATTATCGTTGAAAGTTATATACATTTACCTATGTAAAGGTCACTTCGAGACCGTTGAAATGGTCAAGGATATATAATTGTCATGTTATTATTATTATTGTCTTGGATACTCTGTAATCAAGGTAAAAACCTTGAACCGGACACAGTTGAAATGATAATAATAATGATGATGATATTATAAACCAATTCTCAAGAGATATTGTAAGAAAGACTTGACCAATGGTCTTCAGTAAATGGCTTCAGGCTATGATGAAAAAAAAAGAGTAGGATGAAAAACATTGTCTTCGTTTTTTCCTCTCACTAAAATTGTCACCTTATTAATTGGATGTTCAGTCGTTTGGGTTACTGATACTCACTTATCATGAAAAAAATGAAAATTTGCTAATTTTGATTCGTAATTTACAACAAATTAATCTTGATTAGCTAATCAAGTGATACACTTAATGGTTAATGATAAAAGTTTTCAAGTTAATTTGCAAATGAATGATGATGTTTGCAAATGAAAAGCTTGAAACAATCAACTGAAAGTATCGCAACGAGAGTTGTAACAATCAACAATCAATGACAAGAGTTAGATTATTATGCTAATCATTTTAGACAAAGACAATCATTGTGAATTATTTATCTCTCATTCACTTAATATTTTTATCATTGTCATCATCATGTTGATGATATCCAACTGTTCATAAGCTTTTACCTGGATGAAAAAAAAGATTATTGAATAAACATCAAGACGATGAACACACAAAATTAACGTTAATCATTTAAATGACAGGAAATATCTCACCTTAATTATCTTACTAATCAAGTTAACCATCAACAAAAGTAAACAAAACAAAAAAAGATAATGATAAAGGTAAAAACAACAGTGATGAAAACTGATAATCATCATCAATGATGATGATGATGATGCTTGGTTATCATCAGACAATCAATAACAATTCAAACTTATTGCAAGTAAGATTAATATGAGTTGATAACGATAATGAAAAAATAAACAGAGATAACAGATTATTGGTCAAGTGAATTGAAGATATTACTTAGAGAGAGAGAGAGAGAGAGAGAGAGAGAGAGAGAGAGAGAATCAGATAAAAATTTATCATCATCATCATCTTGCTTCATCTTCAGATGAGATTCTTGTAGGGACCACATGAGCAAAGGGTGGGTGGGGTCTTTTACCTGGTGAGACTAAGTTATTATGACTGTTGATTGTTACTTATCATCTTACCTTAGGCTCGTATATTGATATCAATGTCGTGAAGATACAAGAGAGAGAGAGAGAGAGAGAGTAGTTTCATCCTTCATTATCATCTCTCTCAGAGGGAATCGGTGGTCACTCTTGACCTCTGTATGAAAGGGATGAAAGTGAAAGGTCGTGATGGTCAAGGGTGCTGAGGACTTTTAGGAAGTAGTAAAAGAGTTTAGAGAAGATCATCTTTTCTGATGATCGTAATTAGGAAGAAAAGTAGGAAGGGGGAGGAGATGAGAGAGTTAAAAACAGGAAGCTCTGGAAGAAAACAAAACCTCAAACAAAAAGTGAAAAAAGAGAAAAAAAATTTTCGGGATTACCTGAGTTAATCTTATAAGATAATCCTCATCCTACCGAAAGTAATTCTTACCTTTGTAACTTTGTTTATCGTTTTAGCAATATATCATTTCCCTTTCCTTTCACTAGGAATAAAGGATTAACAGGAAGATAAGTATTATAATTATGATGATGAGAATGACAAGATATTTATCTTCCAACCATATGATTTGTATTCTTATCCTTGAATCTAAAATATTACAAATCTCAAGATTAAATCATTTGTTTATCATTTACATGATCATGAACCTAATTTGATACTAGAGAGAGAGAGAGAGAGATAACAATTAAGTGTTAACAACATTAATCCTCGAAACAATTTAACAACAAACAACCCAAATGATTTAAGATAAAATAGTTAACGATAATTTCGCTTGCAACTATATTAATATGATTTAACTGGCGAAAATTATTTACCCAACAATTTAATGGAAACAATTTAGTTTTAACAATCAACTATCAGAATAATAATAATAAGAAATAAATAAACAAACAGAAAACAAGGTTAGGCTGTAAAGGTAAATCATTTATGGAACCGAATTAACTAATTGTTGTTGTTGAAGAAGAAGAAAAAAAATAAAGATAATTACAATAATCAGTCATAATTAATTTTAATTATCCAATCAATAGTCAATGATATAATAGTCTAGGATATTAAATGATTACATCACTAATTGTGTTATAGTTTTGTTTTTGTTAACACAATTATCTTAATTGTTGTTGATACTCTCAATTACTTTTCCATGATCAATTGTAATTTTCATTAGCCGTTTGTTATCACTAATTATCACCTTGATTTTTCACCTTTTACCTTTGGGATACCATCATCATCATCATCATCATTATCATCATTGAAAGTGTAAAAGATGATGATGATTACCAAAATTAGAAACAATTAACATAAATAATACGATAATCAAGTTTCAAAGATAAACTTAATTCGTGCCAAAGGTTGAGTTAATTAAACGTTAATCTATTTCAACGATAATGAACCATTTTAAAATCGTTAACAATCAACATTGAATTTTAATAAAATCCATTTCTTACCATCATCATCAATTATCATCCTAATAATCCTAATCATCATCATCATCTTAATTTTATCATTGATTAACATAATCATGTTGTTTGTAATCAGATGATTGATGAATTAATCAAAACGCGAAAGTTTCACCAGAACAACCAAATTAATTGTCGCTCGTGATTGTTTTATTCATAAAACAATATTAATATTAATTTTACCTGTTAAATTAATATTTACTTTAATTCCTGAACATAAAAAAAAGTAAAAGTTAATCATGAAATACAATCACAATCAAATTAAATTGTTCCAACATCACAATCTAAATGCCTCATCACAACTCATAAAAGTGATTATAACTAAATACATAGAGGAAAACAAAATCAAGGTAAAAACTTTTGAAAACTCTGTCGGCTTTGAGTAAACCTTTTAACTTTAACATCTTCATTATATGATAATTTAACATGATCACAATTAACATAACAATTAACATAGAAAACAATCAACTTTAATTAAACCATAAACCATTATTAATGATATAAGTGGTATGGTTAACAACCGACAACATGAACAACAGTATATTATTATATCAGAAAAAAAGATTAGAGTTTTTGTTTTTTTTTTCGGTTCCTTTTCATTCATTAATGATAATAATAACATCTTCATCTTCATCTTCATCCTCATCCTTTAAGCCGTAGAGATGATGGTTAATGATGATGATGAAATAAACAACTTTAAATGTTAATTTGATTCCTTTGGTCAGGTCAATAGTTTATGTTAATTGTAAACCGATAAACAATGTTAACTTCATTGGAGAGAAGGTAAACTTTTGTATTATGTGTTGATTGTTAATTGTTGCCGGTTTTTTATATTTTCATCATGAAGATGATCATTTCCTGATGATAGATGATGACGATGATGATGATGATGGTGATGGTGATGGTGAAAAGTATCATTATAATTAACATTTCGTTTGGTTTTGTTTTTGTTTAAGAAGGAAAATTAAAAAAAAAACTTTTACCTGAGTTACTTTACCTGTAGTTTTATTTGTATTATTAACTGAGAGAAGACTTTTTTATGATTTTCCATCATCATCTTCATCCTTTTATCATTATCATCCTCATCATCTTTACAACATTCACCATTTGATGATAATACCATGACCCACAACCACCCACTCTCTCACTTACTCCTCGGTTCCCAATTGAATTCAAATTTTTACCTTTACATTATCGTTACTTTGATCAGATAAGACAATCTCATCATCTTAACCCTCATAAACTATCATCCTAATTATCATCATTATCATCTTAATCTTTGAGTTTTCCACTTACCCTTGAGTCGAGTTAACAATCAATTAATTGTTTGAAAAGTTATTCCATTTGCTTTGGTGTTTTTACCTTTACCTTTTTCATACTTTTCGTCTTTATGATTACTGATCATTTTTTTTTCTTCTTCTATTCCTTTACAGGACAATGGTCAGTGGGATATTTCCTGCATATTCCGAGAGATCTCTAAATATAATAAATACAAATATCGCTCATTCTACAACGATAATTGGTTCCTTGGTTTCGATTATAAAGGTCGACCCATTCGAGGGACAATAAACCGACATGAGCCCCAACGAAATGGATCTAGACGTCAACATATCGGTCAACACTGTTATGAATTTTCAAAGATTAAGATTAATTAGTAAATTGGATTAAATAATTAACAACATTTTCATCCTTCTCATCATCATATCATCAAAATCATATCATCAGAACTTTTTTTTTCTCTTCACCAACAATTCAATTCCATTTTAATATTATTATTAATGCACAACGAAAAAAAAAACATTCCAACTTTTTTTGCTCTAAATTGAAAATCTCTCATTTTTTTTAATAATTATTATTATATTGAAGACTATTTGATTATATTAATTATAAATGTATAATTGTCAATCAATCAACTGACTTTTACAACGATTATCATAACAATTTTAATATTATTTTAGTAAATAATATCAATCGGAACGAAAGTTTTTTGTTTCAATTTTATTTTCCTAAATCACTTTTGATTGTCTAACAATTTACTATGAAAATTATCTGATCAATTTTTCCAATGAAAGCAAAACAATTGATTTGATTAAGCTTCTAGAAAATAATTGGTAATTATCATTGTTTTTAATGATTTTCAATTGATTAATTTGATAAACTTTACTCAAGACAAAACAATAGTAATTAAACAGAAAAATCAACTAATTGAAAACAAGTTGATTGAATAATCTCAGGTAATTGATTTACCATTGACGTTACAATTAGTTAATAAGATACTGTTTCATTATTGTTAATCATTGAGCAGAAGTTAATAATTGTTAACCAGGATGTGCTAATTTGATACAATTTATTGATAAATTGTTTTAATCCTGGTTATTCAATGGTTTGCGTTAACAATTGATTGATTTTAATGATTATTTAAGACAAGAAATAAACATATATAAAGCAGTGAGTTAATTGTTAGCTATCAATCAATATAATTAGTATTCAATTTTGCCTTTTCTCTGTCATTAATCATGAGTGTAACTAAATTTACCTGTGTTTTATTGGCTTTCGTTGTTGGTGTTTCATTTGGTGATCCCCATCGACCAGGTAAATACTTGGATCATGACCGAACTGTGGTCAATTGTGCTAAATACAAGCGAGAGGCCAATCAACATTCGTGCGTCCTTTCAGCTTTCAATACGGAAGGACCTTATTTCTTACCTGATGATTTAGAGAGATCTGATATTGTGGATGATCAAATTGGTGTTCCATTAGATTTGAAAATTAATCTGGTCAATTCCAATGATTGTACTCCCCTTGAAAACATGTATGTTCATATTTGGCATACAAATGCTAAGGGCAGTTACTCAGGTGTAGAAAATGCTGGTCAAGATGGTACAGGTTTCCCTGATTTGCCTGATTTCCCTGGTTTCGGTGGACCCGGCGGCCCATTTGGTCCTAATGGTCCACAAGGACCACCACCAGGTATGGAAGATGCTGGCCCTGGAAACAGTGGTATGGGTAATTTTGGTCGACCCACTCCAACAACCAACGAAAGATTCTGTCGTGGTTACCAGGTCACCGATTCCAATGGTCAAGTTAACTTCAAGACCATTATTCCTGGTTGGTACTTTGGACGATGTCTTCATATTCATGTTGAAGTTTTCGCTAAAAATACAACCGAAATCAATGAAATCTCCTATGTTGGTCAAATCTTTTTCGATCAACAATTACCCTATCAACTTAAATTAATCGAACCTTATTCACAGAATAATCAACAACTTTTGCTCAATGATAATGATCATATTTACCTTAATCATGGCAACGAAACTTTGATTGAACTCGATTCCAAGGGTTCCGGATTCTCAAGTTCAATTACTTTGGGCTTAAATCCTGAAGCTAAATAAAACTGAACAAAATGATTTCGAGAAAATCATTTACATAAATCTAACTAATTGTAAACAATAAACTTTAATTTCTTTCAACACTTAATCGCTAATCAAATTGCTGCCTTGAAAATACTCCTTGAGTACTAATATTAATAATATAAATTGATTAGTACACTTTTGATTACAATTAATTTCGGGCAATACATAATTATAGATATTTCCATCAAGCTAAATCAGATTAGTTTATAACAATTAAAAATGATAATTAGTGGATGCTAACAATAAGTACACTGTTATAATTGGATCAATTTTATCGACAATTAATTGTTATTGATTGATACCTGATTTACATAAATAAGAGGCAACAACAATCAATACATATGATAACCTAATTAATTTAATCATCACATTGTTTGATTAGCTTAACTATTAATGTTAAGAGATGAGGACAATTAATGTCGCCCCTAACAATTGAGATGATTTTGATGATTAACTGATTGAGAATATGATTGAATATTATTATTATTATACTTTCAATGTGAACTAAATTGTTATCAATTTTTCAACAATTAATTAGCCCAAAAATTAACAAATTGATAAAATTATTAATAGAATTCAAATTTGAAAAAATTAACCAAATCAATCAAACAATAAACTTGAATCTATTTAATCATCCAAAAGTTTGGCTCCAATTTAAGGTTAATTGTGATCTATCTGTTTAATTATCAGCTCTGTAATTAATGTAATATGATGCAAGCAATTAATTGTGGTTTCACTTCAAATTGTTGATTCAATGTCAAAGTATTTACTCCCAATTTAATCTTAATGATCAGATCATGATTGTGATTAATCTTGATTTAATTGTGTAACTTCAATTGTTAACAAATTGTGTGCGTAATTGTTTCAAACAATTATGATTACCTTTGTTCAGTTGACATAAACATTATTGTGATTAACTGATTATTGGTTTGATTGTAAGACCTCAAGTTTTGTGATCAAAACAATTAATTTATTTTTTTGCTTCACCAGTAATTAAACTATAATTTCAATTCTAAATTAAATTAATTGCTACCTGTCGATACTTCAATTTGACAATTAAATTTGATAGTAAATTATTACTAATCATGAGTTTATGTTGATTCTTAATCATAACAATTGACCAGATTGATTGTACAAAAGTGAAAATCAAATTACAATTAAAAGTATTGAATGAATTGAGAAAAGTAAATCAATTAATATGATGAATAATTAAAAGTAATCTTTTGATTTAGTTTATTATTAGTGTTTGAAAGTTTTACAAATATAATAAAATCCCGGTTTTTGGAGATTATATCAAGTTAATTGTTATGATGGATTAGGATTTGATTGGATTAGTATTGGAATTGAGAATCTATTTCAAAGTATTTGGATCAATACCCAAAGTGATTGAGCTTCTGAAATTATTTCCACGGGTAATTAGATCTAGAATTGTTTCATTTCCATGATTAATGTAAATACCATCGTTTTCATTAACAACTAAAAATTGATTGTTCTGTGAATAAGGTTCAACCAATTTAAGTTCATAGGGTAATTCACGGTGAAAGAAAAGCTGACCAACATATAGTAGGTCACTTCCGGAGGTTGTATCTTGAGGATAAACTTCAACATGAACATGTAAACATCGACCAGTATACCAACCGGGCATAATTGTCCTGAAATGAACTTTACCATTGGCATCGGTCACTTGATAACCTCGACCGAATCGTGACTTATTGATTGGAGTTGGTCGACCTCGAGGAAACCCTGGATTACCTGGTCCTCCATGGTCAAGTTTGTCCAAATTTTTCGACCCCTCACCAGTTTGATCACCATTATCTACTCCTGAATACATTCCCATGGCATTTGCATGCCAAATGTGAACATACATGTTACTTAATGGATTACAATCATTGGAATTAACTAATTGGATTGTTAAATTGAATGGAATACCAATTTGATCATCAGCTAAATCAGATCGTTCTAAATCATCAGGTAAGAAATAAGGTCCTTCCGTGTTGAAAGCTGAAAGGACGCACGAATGTTGATTGGCCTCGCTTGTATTTAGCACAATTGACCACTGTCCGGTCGTGGGCCAAGTATTTACCTGGACGATCATGATGATCACCAAATGAAACACCAACAAAAGCCAATAAAACACAGGAAAATACTAATTGAAACATAATTAACTTTGTTTCCTCTTGGATGAAAGGTTGACAATTTAAATGTATTAACAATTGACACTTTATAATCAATTCAACTTGTTGATTAGTCTATTAATTAACTTGATCAATGATTTTGCTCATTCTTATATATTCATTTAAATGTATCAATTAGCACTATAAAATCAGTACACAATTTGTTATGATAATCAATCTAAATTAAATAACAATCAGTTGTGACAATTAATCTATAAACGAATCAATCTCTTTAATTAGTCTAAATTTCATTGAATAATAATTTAACAATTATCTTCATCTTATCATATTTTCAATGTCTCTTCAGATTAAATTGTATTAATTGTATTTGGTATTGTTCATTATTAATTTTATCAAATTAATCTTGGATTAATTGTTGATTAATTAATTACGTTGCTGGTGTTTTTTCATCTATTATGTATCGTTAGTTAATTGTTGTTTACGTAAATTAAATTTACATTACCTCTTAATCAGTTGGCATGTTTGTCTAAATTATGATCCCTCACATTGAGATTAAATTATAAAACAATGGTGAAGAAATTGTTTAATTTTGATAAAGTTAATTGTTGAATATTAATTAATCTTGTTTCTCATTAAAAGTTAACCCAAAGACAATTATTAAAAGTTACTCAATGATTTTATTGCACTGATTAAGTTAATTTCATGTCCTATTAACTAAATTAACATAATCATTTGTTGACCATTCAAACTAATTGTTGTTGTTGTTTCGTTAATTGCATTAAGATCAATTAGAATTATTTTTATCATTGGTCAACATGAATATCTTGAGTTAATCAATAAATCACTAGCTCAATTAAAAGTAACAATCAGTTATTTAAGTAGGTTGTTTTGATTAGTTACTAATCAATAACAATCAGATATTATTGGGCTTCATTTGTTTGGTAAAACATTTGAAATGTTCAAAAATGGATAATGATTAGTGTTAATCATTACAGTTACATCTTAAATTGTTGTATTTCTCACCCAACAATCTATCAATCAGGTAAATATTATATTATAATTAATGTTTAAAAGTGATTTTTTACCAAATTGAAAGGGGAAAATTGGTGTTTACAGTGTTGAATGTTTGTAGTTTGATTGCTGTTTAATTATGTAAACAATTAAATGGAAACATTTTGTTAACTTATTGTTGGAATTCATATTGATTAAAGCCTTGTGAAAAATATTGATTCTCATTGTAATTCAAATTGTTTGACTGAACAGGAGGAGGGGGACCCATTTGGATTGGAGCATAATCTTCACCAGTCATTGGGATGTTTGTGTTGACAGCATTTGAAGCCATCATTACATGTGGAGGATAAGGGTTGGTTGAAGGGTGGAGATGGTGTTGAGATTGAGGCTGGTGGGGAATCATTGCAATCGATTGTGGGTGAGGTGTGTGAGACTGTGGAGGATGAGCTAATTGTTGGGGTTGAGGTTGAGGTTGAGGAAGAGACTGTGGTTGTTGTGGTTGATAGAGAACTGGTCCAGTTTGGTATGTTGGTTGACCTCCTCCTCCTGGTGGCATATAATTTGCTGAGTAGTGACCACTGGCTACTGCTAATGGATAAGTATCTTTCATCAGTGAGTGATACATTTTTAAGGCTTCAGTTAATTGTGAATTAACCCGATTAGGGCTGCGTGTTTTTGTCAATCTTTTCAAGCTCCTGGTCAATCATTACATTCATTTGCATACATTGCTCTGGAAAACAAGAAAGAGAAAGAGAGTGATAAGGAAAATAAAATCAATCAGTTAATCAGTAAATCCAATTAAATCAGTATAGGGTGAAGGGGAAAAACTAATCCCCGACAATTTATCAATCTTTTAGGTGTAATCATGGTTACTATTAATACCTTCTAATTGAATCAATTCCTCTGTATCTACCATTTCTCCGGTTGGATCGGCTTCAAGCAAAAGATTTAACAATCTATCAATTTTTTCAGCATCGATTTCAACTTGTTGCGGTTCCCGTTCAAGAGTTTTGACCTTAACCGTCTCATTGAATTGGACGGTCTTTTTTTCACTTGATTTAACTAAAAGAAAAAGTAAACAATTGTAACAATAAATTAATTAGTAAATGACACAGATAAATATGAATAAATTTGCATCAGCAATTGAGCTGATTGTTGATCGTAAGAGAGAGAGAGAGAGAGAGAGAGAGAGAGACAAATCATTTTGATTATGCGACAATCAACCTACATTGCTCTGGTTCATTCAGATCGGTGGTGACAAAATTTGCCGGAAAAAGACCTTCGCCTCTGTGATTTGATCCTTTCCACCAATTGGGATCACTATGGAAGATTAATAAGAGAAGAAGAAAAAATAATAAAGAAATCAGTTGATTAGATTGATTAGATTAAGATTTAAGTAGAGAATTAGAGAGGAAGAAAAAAAAATCTCTATTAGAATAATTTGAAATGTTCTTACAAAGTCAATTAATCATTAGTTTTATCATTAACAATAATCTGCCATTAATTGAATCAATTGATAGTTTAACCATCAATGTAATTTACTCATAGCTAATCATTTGTTAGTTGACATTAAAAATAATCTTAACATGAGTCATATATTGACAGCCTATTCTGTCAACATTATTATTGATATTCAGTTAAATTGTTGACAGATTATTTAGACGTTTAATTTTCGTATTTACCTATCATCTAGCACCAGAATGATTTCTTTTGATTTAAAAGTTAATTCATTATCTTCAGCAGCTTCGAAATCATATAGAGCTCGTACTTTATATGGTTCTTTAACTTTGACACCAGAAGATGAGGTTGTATCATTGAGAGATAATGATGACATTGTATCGATAAATTTTGGGTACAATGTACTGTTGGTGTTTGTATTGTTTGGATTGATGATTGAATTGGTATTACTATTATTACTAATTGTAATGGATGACTTGTAATTGTTGGTTGACGAGGAATATGATTTAGATGATTTAGTTTCCTTTAAGGACAATTCAATTGCTTTGGCAATATCTTCCTCTTCTTGATTACTGGTTACAATATTGGGATCGGTTGGTAGTGAGGCCATTGATCGTCTTGGTGGATCTGATGAGGTAAATTCAACACCTTCCGCTCTCATCTTATTGTATAGGGAAGGAATTAAACTCAATTGTGGATCACTTTTAAATTCTTGTTCAGCCCATTTTTTGATTAAACTCCTTAGCTTTTCACTCACTTTTGGATGGCCTTTGGTGAGGATTTTTTTAATCTCACTTTCAAAGTCTCGAGAGCAAACTTCTAGGTGAAATTTTTTACCACAATTAGAGACACACGCATCTAATAGGGTTAATGTTAACATTTGTACATGTGGAATTGGATTGTTTAATCTTTTTGTTATTGAACGAAGACAATCTTTTGGTCCAGTTGATTCTGTGGTCACTTTATCACAAATGTCCATTATCAAAGCCCAATCTTCACTTGTCTTACATTCATCTGTTACCTTTTCAACCGCTGGATCAAAAGTAGATGAATTGCCGAATAGTTTTTGCATCTTTCTAAGGATAAAAGTAAAAACAAGATAATACAATTAAGACAGAAACAATTAATTCAATTACAAAATCACCGAACAAAAAAAGGTTAAGATTAAAAAGCTTCAAGAATAAAAGTAAACAAAAATAAAAGAGAAAATCATTTTAACTAATTTGTAGTTCGATAGATGGCGCCACTGAACAATTTTGTTGCTTCTTTTGAATTTTAATTTCGTTAAAGTTAATTCAATAAACTTAATTGTCATTAATTGTTATTGTTGGAAGAAAACTAATGCTTTTCTTTATGAAACTAATTTAGGGTTTAATTATGCAAACAAATGATTAACTAGATGATTAATTGGAAAATTTTCATAGCCATAGATGTTACTTTTTTTTGCAGGTTAACTTTTTGACTAATACAGTTAAACCTTTCATAGTTTGAACTTTTTGATTGCTACCATCTAAATATTAAAAAAATTAGAATTTAACATATTACAAAAGTAATTAGTCAATTGTTCAGGTTGATTGTTCGAAAAAAAACAGCTTTTTAATGAGAGAGATGATAACATAGGCAATGTTTTAAAAACAAAGTACATATCACTAATTAGTAGATTAATTATCATTTGAAAATTTGATTATGATCAGAGTTGTATTTTTTAGATTATGGCAGCGATTAGATTCGAACCTGCGTCATTTCTGATCGGTGTTCAAAAAACCAGCGCTTTAGATCGTGCGGCCACACTAACACGAGGAATAACGTTCGGTTAATTTTTTATACAATTTATCTAGAGGACTTTCTGAACCTGAAAGAAGAGAATAACTTTTCGAAGATAAATTGAATGACTTAGATGATCATCTAACCTTTACCCTCGAACAATACCTTACCTGATCATGAAACCTGCACCAACATATTCTTCCGTTTTTGACATTTTTTTTTAATTATTCCGTACAACTTAGTCTGACTGGGGAAGGTGAACCAGAAAATGATAACCACCATTAGATGGTTGTCCAAATCGGCTTAATGATGATGCTTATAATTAAATAAATACATGAAACTAATTAGGGTTTAATTATGAAACTATTGATTAGCTAGATAATTGGAAAATTTTTATTTTTATAACTATAGATATTACTTTTTTGCAAATTAACTTTTCATTAATATTACAAAAGTAATTAGTTAATTGTTCAAGTTGATTGTTAGAAAAACAAAAAGGTCATTGATGTGAGATGATAGGTAATGTTTTTATAAGAAAAAAATCAATCCTGATTCATAGTTTGATCATCAAAAAAAGGTTATAATCAATTAAATAGGTGATTAGTAAAGTTGATTGTTTTTTTCTTAATTATCTTCAAAATGGTAATCGACTAATTTAGTAAATGTTGGGTTTTAGTTGTTTTTTTGCTTTGTTGTTTATCAATGGAAAACGATGAAAACAGATACAAATGAGGTTTAGTGTGAGAATACAATTTAGTTTCATCTACACCAACAATATTTATATTGTTGGAAAAGTTTGGTGGGGAATGGAAGAGGATGAATCCTTTTGCTATTAACTTAATTGTTTTTATCCATGTTGGTTAATTTGATTGCATTTCAAGGTGAAAATTGAGAAGATGAAATTAATTTGTTTGTTCACGATGGAGGGTCAAAAAAAAGTAGTAGAAGAGGTTTCAACTTTTGTTTTCAAAATAAAACTGAAAAATATAAAGTCGGAGGCTTTTTTGTTTGTAAAAACAAAATACATATCACTAATTAGTTGATTAATTGTCATTTGTAATTTGATTATGATCAGAGTTGTAATCAGAATTCTTGAAATATTCAGAGGGAAAGAGAAAGAAAAAGTTTCAACAGCTGAACAATAGGGAACATAACAGAAGGAGAGAGAGAGAAAAAGTTAGAGAGAGGTGGTTATGATTTGGTTGATATTTGTCATTTTGACGATAAGTTGAATTGCCTTGATTGTCAACCTTTACTGGAAAAGTGATTAAGAAAAACAAATTGCTTAATATCATTTTCTTTGTTTTTTTAGCCAAATCCACCATTTGAATTTTATGTTTAGTTAACTTTCTTATGGAACCAGGGCATCCATGAGCACTTTTTTACTTTGATTTTTTGTTTTCTTTTGTATGTATTTGTGTGGTAATATATTGTAGGTGTGTAAATGTTTATCTTGTTTGTTTAACAAGCGGGTAACATATAAATATAAATGTTATCATGATAAGTAATTATTTGTTATATGAAATATATATTAAATTGAAATGAAATCGGCGGCTATTGCTTTGGGTTATTTGCATGAGATGAAGTTTCCATCTTTTTTTTTCCGTATAACTTTGCAAATGTTTCTATGAATTTCATGTGTAGATAAATGACTCGATATGAAAAGTAAGAGATAACTGATGATCTTTCTTATGGTAATGATAATGATGATGGTGGTGACGGTGATGGTGATGGTGATGGTGAGGATCATGATGATAACGGTGGTGATGGTGGTGGAAATGATGGTCAGTGTGAACATTTATGATAATTATGGTAATCATTTTGTTTTTTAGTTTTTTGTAGCTTCACGATGAAGATGATTGAGGAGATAATAAATCAGTGATCTGATTTTGTTGGACATTGAGAAGATTGGAGATAATTTCATCAACTACTCTAGTTTTATCGGAAGCTTTTGACAGAATTTCCTTCTCAATAGAAAGTTGTAAAAATGTTTCAATATTTGTTCGGAAATTGTTGATAATATTAGATTTGTGATTTGTCTCCGTAAGTGGATTAGAGCCCATTGTTTGTAAGATTGAGGTAAGAGCCACATCAACAGGTTTTCCATTGATTATCTCATCGTAAACGTACTTGGGAACCAAACGATGTAAAAGTCTTTCAAACATTTGCTTCAATGATTCCATTTTGTTGAAATGGTCATTCAGGTTCTCACAATCTTCATCATAATCATCATATTCTCCTTCATCGTCATCATCTTCTTCTTCTTTCTCATCTTTCTCATCATCTACATCTTCATCATTTTCTCCTGTGAAAGTAACATCTTTCAATCTTTCGAGAACAACAGAACAATCTTTATCAATTCCAAACTTTTTCCGCAAAGATTCTTCTAAATCCTCCTCACTGTACTTGACCATTAATTCACAAATATTTTCCACAATTTCTTCTTCATATTCGTCTACTACTTCCATTTCTTCATCTTCAACTATACCACCACCATTAGCTGAGATCAGAGAACTTTGGTCAACAGATTCTTCGTTAACAATGCTCGAATCAGAGTCAATATCTTCCATATCTGAAAAAAAGGGCAAAAAGATGAAAACATTTAATATAAAAAAGACAAGGATCTCGATAGAAGAGAAGAAAAAATTAATTGAAGAATTGACTCACTCTCAAAATGCAGAAACTTGATACCCAGCGAATCCAAAGCCATTTCTAGACACTTGACTTCATGTTTTGCTTTAACGATATAATTTTTCGCTCTTAATCCACAGATAGCACAAGTAGAGGCTCTATCAATAAGTTCCTAGGGAATAAAGAAAAAGTTAAGATAAGAAAAAAAAGGAATAAAAAAAAATGAACAAGTATTCAAGAACAGAATAAGATTAACAATGCAACATATTTTCATCTTTGTTTTCTTATAGAATCTTGATGATTAAAAATATTTTGCTTTTCTCTTATTACCTCTACTCTTTGGGAGACATCAGCATTGTAGACTTTGTGACAGGCTTGTTCATGATAGAAAAGCCGTTGCTTTGAGTTAAATTTAAGACCACAATGATGGCAGGATATGAGAGTTTTCGAGTTGTTGTTACTAACTTCATCAACAAGGCACGTTTTTTTGTGATCTACCAATAAGTCTTTAGAGACAAAGGTTCGGTCACATTTAATACAACGGAAACGGAAAGGACAAGCATTTTTAATATGATGAGATAAACCAGGAGCATCGGAAAATTGGCAAGCTCGACAGTAAGGACATGTGATCATTGTATCATTGTCTTCATTTTCAGTTTCAAAGGGATAGGAACGTTTTCGTTTCTCTTTTCTGGGCTCCGCTTTATATAAAGTCTTGTATATTTTAAGATGTTGGTGAAGATGTTGTCGTATTCGGGAAAGTTGACTGATAACTATTTTACCTTTACAAATTTCACAAGCATAACAAACAAATTTACTGAAATCTTCTGGTTTATCGGAAAAGTGTTTAAGGCGATGACGGACGAATTTAAATACATCAGACTCGGTAAAACCACATTCGGTACATTCAAGTAGATTAACTGTTTCTCCGGAAGGCACATTTTCAGTAATCATGTCAACATAATCTTGAGGTTCTTTGTTGTTGCTTGTGTGATTACTATTATTGTTATTCGAGTTATTTTGATGTGAATTTCTTGTTTCATTCTTATTGGTGACAATTTTACTTTCGTATGAACCATTTTTAATATTATTACCAATAATTAGACGAATATCGTTTGAGTGATTAGCTTTTTGAGGCACTGGTCGAATTAAATCATTTTTTGAAGATGATGAAGGCGCAATTCTTTGAGATAAATCTTTAGTCTTTGTCAAATTGGGTGTAGGAATTTGCTCTAAAGCATTTTCAATTTCAATTGATTTAGAAGAGCTTGAATTGGATGGAGATGAAACATTATTATTACGATTGTTTTTAACCACTTGACAATATTGTCTCTTATGTTCAAGTAGGTAATATTGACTGTTGTAAGGACCTCGTCCACAATTATCGCACATGAGTAATCCAGACTCATGGACACGATTCAATTCACTGCGACGATCACCTTTTAGTTGAGAGTTGAGGGCAACTGGATTAGGACTTCCCAGAAGAGCAGCTAATCGAGACTCATTGGATCCTGATTGAGATTCATCTCGAGATAATGGTCGAGAATAAGATTTTGTTCGAGGTTTAGCCAATGGTGAGGGATACGGAGATTTCGGTGGTGGAACTAAAGGTCTTTTAACACATTGATATTTTGATGAATTCGACAGCATTTGGACCGGAAAACCCTTCTTGTGACATAGAGTGCACGTGTAATTGCTTCCAAAATATGCATTACTAACTGCACTTCCTCGTGGAGGATTATTGAAGGTTGGCTGAACTTTTAAAAGTTGAGATTGTGAATTAGTTGTTGGTATTGGTGATGGAGTTGAACCAATCGATGAGGGTGAACTGTTTGAGCTTAATTGTTGACGGTGGTGTTGGGTTGATTGTTGGGCTTGAGGTGAAACTGGTGTTGGAGATATTGATTGGATAGGAGGTGGCATGATGGAAGGTGGTGGAGCTGGTCGGTGAGAAATTGTTTCTTCTTCTCTCTCATTGGTTGCTTGTTTTGATTCTGTTGATGGAATTGTGGTTAAATCATCTGATTCAGATTTATCGGCTTCTAAGATTCCAATGTAAGGAGAGGTTAGATCACATTCATAACGATGCATATTGTAAAAATATTTGGAATTAAAGGTTAGTGAACAGGTTTGACATCTTAGAGCAATTCCATCATTAGAACTTATGTTCACAGCAGGTAGACCATGGTAAGTGGTTAAATGAACACCAAGAGAGACACGATTTTTTATATCTCGATTAGGACATAATTTACAATAGAATCTGACTTGAGCTTGTCCATCAGGTAACTTGGATTCTTGAGGGATAACAGGATTTACGTTTGCATTCACAGGTACAGTATCTGCTGCTTGAGGACTGGATTGTTGATCCTTATTTTTGTTGAATTTAGCTTTCAAATAGGGAACAGTTGCTTGGGTTGCTGGACAATGTTTATTCCGTCGATGGTTATTATAAGCGACAGCGGGAGTTTTACCGCCGAATATTTTTGTACACCGTGGACACTGGACACGATTTCGTACCAGGTAAGCTCGGCGAATAAGCTCATCAGAAGGTGCAATGATTATATCATCAGGACCCAAATCGGTAAAAGCGGGACTATAACCTTGTCCTGTTTTAGAATCACTGGCTGATCCACTATTAGTATTTCCACCAGAATTACCGTTATTATTATTACCAACAGTTGTCGGTGAAGAGGTTGAAGAGGCACCAGAGGTAGTGGTATTTGGTAAAGCTCGTTTAGTATGTAAAAGAGAATCACCAGATTTAACAAATGAATTATTGCTTCTGTCCGGTGTTTCCAGAGAATGTCGAATTTTCTCATGCTGGTTAGAAGATGATTTATCTTTTTCCAATCCATGATCAGGAACCAAATTGTCATTATAAAATTCTCTGCACTCATTACGTCGACTTAGATGATTACATAAACTGATAAATCCTTTCATTGGTTTGTGACAAGCTTTACAATTAGTATCACCATCTGAATGTATCGCTTCAACCATTTTTCGACAATTAGATGTTTCAGATCCAATTAATTCTGTACCCAAAGTATCAAGACTACCAAGGGAACGACCTCGACCCTGTGGACGTTTAATCACATTTTCACCAGGTTTAGATTGACTTTTATTATTTGCCTCTTGATTCCTTGTAACGGTGCAAGTTGATGCGGGGATGGTTGTGTTACTATATTGTTGCATTTTGGCTGGACAAACTTTCTGATGAGCATCAAATGACATTCTAAGAAAATAGGCTTTACCACAAGAGCAACTGTAAACCTCTTTAAGCAAGTCATCATCTCCATCTTCTTCTTCATCCTCCTCAATGTCAAGAGCAAGAACATTCTCGGCATCACATGCACTTCGGGTCACTTGAATGTTAGATAAAATAGAACCAGAAGAAGCAGAAGAAGATGGTTTATTACCTTCTCTTGAAGAAGCTGAAGTAACTCGTCCATTATTATTATTGTTAATATTATTATTATCAGAATTGATAGTTTTGTTACTGGAGTTATTTAAATTGTTATTATCAGTGATAGTAGTGATGATATTACCATTGTTTGAAGATAAATTGATGGCTGTAACAGGTATCGATGTTAAATCAGCATTTGATTGACCAGCACCAGCATGAGTTGCTAGATGAGCTTCAACGGCAACCTTACTGGGAAATATTTCACCACACGTGCTACACCTGAACGATGCTTTCATTTGATGGACAGAGGTCATGTGTTCAATATGCTCATGAACATCCTTATATTGCTTATTACAAATGGAGCAGACAACAGGCTGAGGGAGTCGGGTAAAAGGCGCTTGCATCATTTTATCTCTTTTGCGTTTTTCTTTCTTTCTTTCTTTCTTTCCTATTGATAAATAATATATAAAAAAAAAGAGAGAAAGAAAAAGAAAAGGAAAGGAAAGAAAGAAAAATAGAAAGGAAAGAGAAGAGTCAGTGAGAGAGAGAAAGAGAGGAAAAATGTACAATCCAAAAATGGGTGAAAAGTATAAATTTCACATCGAATCACCGTAATTAGAATTTGATTAATTAATTTTTCAGTTGATAAAACTAAAACCAAAATTAAATCACTAAAAGAAAAACAAACAAAAAAACAAACTGAGAAAATTTAATTCTAAGAGAAAAAAACCTTTTCCTTTTTTCTCCTCTTTCTTTTCTCTCTTTACTCTTTGTTCAACATTCTAACAAATGCTTCTACCTGGTGGTCATCCCTTTCAACCGAAAACGAAAAAGAAAGAAAAAAAGTGGCGGTAAATATGAAAAATATTCCAAAAGAAAAGTGAACACAAAATGTTTCCCCTTTCTTCTTATAAACTTAATCCAAACAACCGATTAAATTTAATCTTCTCCGTATCCCAAACAGACTAATGAGTTAATTTCTATTCCATGATTGAGTTAAATTAATTTCTTTCAATTAATAATTTTCTTTTTACATTTTTGTTTGCTCAAGAAAAATTTTCTAAGCGCGAAAACGAACCTGTCGCCATCTGAGGTCCATTATTGGAACTGAGAAATTTTCTTTTTAAAATTTTCTCCATCCACTCACAACTCGATTTACTTCCTATGTATTTCTATGGAAAATGAGTCTCTGCGCATCGGCTTAAGGGATCGATTTTTCCCCTTCTCTGGTCTTCTTTTACTAGAAGATTTTTTTTTGGGTGAAATTTTTTTCTCGCCAATTTTTAAGCTTGTGTTTGTTTTTTAGTGATTTATTTTTTTTGTTTAGTTTGTCTGCCGAAAAACAATTAATTAATTGTAATTCCAGTTATCGATTTAAATTGTCACCAATTGGGTTATATTACTTATATGCTTTTTTTTGTTTTCAATTTTTCTCCTTTTACCAACATCAAGTACAAGTGTGTTTGTAAGTGACTGTTTCTCTCTCTCTCTCTCTCTCTGTTTCTCTCTTCATCTTTCTCTCTCATTTTCTCTCTCTCTCTCTCTCTCTCAGTTGTGTGTGTGTGTGAGTTTGGTTGTGTGTTATCAGTTTTTTCTTCTTCTTCTTGGTCTTCTCTGTTGTATAAAGACTCATAGGACATGTCATTTAGTAGATCTCGTCGGCATAGTCGAGGTCATGAGTCTAGATCACCATCCCGTGATTTTGATAATGGCTCTTTTGGCCGGTCTGGTTTTCCACCCAACATTGAAGGCATGACATCTCTTAAAGTTGACAACATTACCCAGCGAACTGGTGTAGCTCTTTTATCAAAGGTTTTTTCAAAATATGGTGAATTGGGAGACGTTTATGTTCCCAGGTATCCAGATACCTTTGCAAGTCGCGGGTTTGCTTTTGTTAGATTTGTAAGAAAGAGATGCAGAAGAAGCCATGAGGAAAATGAATGGCTATGTTCTTGATGGTAGACCTTTGTCCATTCAAATGGCTCGGTATGCTAGACCTTCACCTACTCGTCAATTATCCTCATCACGTCAAGTGGTCCACCCAATTCAAGGGTGGCGGTAGATATGGTGGTGGTGGCTTTCGAAATGGAGGAGGCCGGTATGGTGGCGGTGGTGGTTTCCGAGGAAGGCAACCATTTCGTGGTAGATCACCATATAGAAGACGATCTCGATCACGGTCACGGTCTCGATCAAGGTAACCATTTGTTCCCAATTTGTTTTCTTTTTTCCTCTCTTTCTCTCAAATTCTCCCTCTTCCTTTGAAGAAAGAGACAAGACTCTCTCTCTCTCTCTCCTCTTTCTCTTTAATCCACATTTCAACCATTATAATGAGTTCTCGTTTATAAAATACAAATATAATACATTGTTTTATATGTATTTTAATATGTTATAATTATTTATCTATTTTTATTTTTATTGATTTTTGTCTTCTTTTTTCAACTTTTTTTTAGGGATAGAAGACGAGATGGCCATCGAAGCGTCAGAAGAAATCGATCCAAAAGCACAGATAAAAATCGACGATCTAGAAGCAAGGATAGTACTAGTAAAAAAGAAGATCGTGACCGAAGTCGAAGTCCCCACAAGAAAGATTCAAAGGACAAAAGTGATAAAATGGATGATGGTGGAGATAAAAGCAGAGGATCAAGAAGTAAAAGTAGGAGTGAAAGTCGCAGTAGAAGTAGAAGCCGTAACCGTAGTCGAAGCAGGAGTAAAAGTAGGAGTCGAGATAGAAACAACTCCAGAAGCCAAAGCCGAGATCGAAGCCAGAGCCGAGAGCGAAGCCAAAGTCGTGATCGGAGTCGAAGTGGTAGTCGAAGCCGAAGTCGGAGTAAAACTCGAAGTGAAGAGAATGGACGACAATCTCGAAGCCAGTAAAAGCCCCAGCAATGAGGTTAAGATAAAGTCGGAGCCAAAATAAAAAAAAACCACATCCTAACTTGTAATCAAAGCGAAATAACAATGATTAATGAAATGATGATGATGAGAAGATGTTGACGATGATGACAATGATTGGCGATAATAATAATAATAATGATGGTGATGGTTACTATGAAGATAAAAGTAAAATGAGAGGTGAGATAGAAAAAGGGAGCTAGAGAGAGAGAGAGTGAGCAACATTGAGAAAGAAAAAAAAATCATATTTCCTTTTTCAATATTTTTCTCATGAATATGAATTAACATTGAAAATCTGAATTTTATCTGATCAACCATCTAAAATCTGAATACACCTGAAAGTTGTTATATAAAAACTACTTGATGATATTCAGAATGATAAAGTAGCCTTTTGTTGATAACAATAACACAATCATGAAAACCTTTGATATTTTTTTAACCTCCCTGACTGGTTAGATAATAGTAACTGAATAATCATCATAATAATCATGTTACTCTTACATTCAGAATTCATGATAACTTATCAACTCCAACCTTTTCCATCATCATCAACATCATCATCATTATCATTATTATTATTCCTCTCAATCACTACCACAACAACAACAAGCGCCATCATTAAACTCTCTCACTCTCACTCTCTCTCTCCCGTCAACATCATCATCAACCTCTGGACATTATCATCCTTCACAATCTAAACCTCATTTACAATACTTTCTCATCATTATCATCAACAACAACAAAAAAATATTCAAACACAACCAATTCAATGAATCAAGAATTTACCTTTCGATTCAATCAGATAAAAAGAAACAAAAAAATTTAAAAATCCAAATCACAACAAAAAAACAAATCCAACCAAAACCAAACATCCAATCAACTTAAACACCACTCGAACCAAGGAAGGAAAAATGTTTTAATCACATTTCAATAATTTGATTTTTGAGACTTTAATGAAAAACAAAAGCTTCACAATTATGTTATTAAACAAAAACACAAGAGAAAATGATTAACTTAATTGACAATAACAATCAACAATCAACAAACAACAACTTTGATACAAAATGAATTGAAACATTTGTTCAGTTTTTCCCTTGCAAAGTGATAAAAGCAACTGAATAATAATGAATTATTATTATTCAGAAATTGATGAATTCTTATCAATGTGAAGAAACCTTTTCATCACCCTGAACATCCGGAGATTGTCATGCTAACCTGATTTACAATAAATCTTGATGATGATGATGATAAATATATTCAAATGTGAATTAATTCAATCAGATAAATTGTGATGATTTAGTTGTAATAGTTGAAGAAAACATTTTCATTTTCATCTAAACTTTTCCCTGGAAAAAAATAATAATAATAATTGACCAACTTATCCGAAGTAGAAACAATTTAATTTGATGATTTAACTTGATTGTTGTAACGATTACAAAGACAATTAAAGTTAAATGGTGAAAGATGAAAATACTTTTTAAATAACATAAGTAAAATCTAATTGTTATGTTTTCATATTGTTCTTGAATTTCATGACAATCAAATTGGAACAACAATTAACTTTTCCATCTCTTGATCAACCACATATTCATTTACCATCTATGTTTATATGTTTACCTTTTGTTAATAAACTTGATGATCAACATTTAATCATGATAATGATGTTAATAATACACTCGGGAATTTCACTTACACTGAACCTATTGATTTACTCTGTTGATCAACAACAATCAATTGATTATTAAACTTAAATTCCAAGTTCGTTATCATTATCATGTTCATGTTTCATATGTTTAAGTCAAGAATGGTGATAATGGTCAATTGAAGATAAAGATGAAGATGATGAAGATGATGAAAATGATGATGAGAATATCCTAATAATAATAATCAACAACAACAATCAACAATCAATTTAATGATTAACATTCAATAAGTTGAGCTTGTTAAAAGCTCATTAAGATGCTTGGTTTGTTTTTCATTAACCATTTTGTTTGTTTATTTACCATTAAATCATTTTGTAAGTGCACCATCAAAGTTAATTGTTGTATCATCATGATGACAATCAAATACACCTTATTGTTAAATTGTGATCACAATTACAGGAAATAAATCACTTTTTTTATTCCCACTCTAATCAAAACATTTTTCTTTCTTTACCAATCAAATCTTCATCTTCCTTCCTGATCATCTAATGGTTTCTTATTATTCAATTGAATCAAATGTTATATTTTTTCAAGGGAAATCCTGAAATTTTGACTCCCTGGAAGGTGATAGTTGATTGTGATATTATAATAATCAGCATACAACAATCAAGAATCAACATCGATGTCAGAACTAAAAGTCTTCATGAAGAGAGGAAATAAACTCACTCCTTTAGAATTTATCATCTCTCTCTTTTTAGCATTTTCCTTATCTTCTTTTATCAGCATCGTTAGCATCCTTCTCATCATCATGATCATCTTCACCAATTATTAGTTTATCACATTCCATGAGTGGTATTCATTGAATTGAGAGGAAGAAGAGAGAGAAAAGTTTTTTTTCTCTGATAGATTTTTTTTCTTTCTCGAAAAAAAAGACGAAGAGCAAACTTTTCACTCTGAGAGAGAGAGAGAGAGAGAGAGAGAGAGAGAGAGAAATGATGAGGGTGAGAGTTTCATCTTCCATCATTTATCACAAATACTAATAAGACCTGTTCACTTGATCTGTAGAACTTCACAAAATCTTCTTCCCATCTTATATCATGATGATAATCATCAATATCATCACTTAGAACCTTAAACTCATCATTTTAACAACAAACTAAATTTTTCGCTACAAAACTTCAAAGGTAAACTAATGTTACCTTTTAGACAGGAAAACCAGCTAATATTGGTAACTGACCATTAGAAAAATATCACTTTTTGGACTCTCTCTCTCTCCATCATCATCTCTTCAACATCTTCCGAATCATTCCAGATAATCATTACCATGAGCTCCAATGAACACCAAGGTAGATACATCCCAAAAAGATGAAGAAGATTGCTCTCTTCTCTTTCCTCTTTCCTCTTTCATCATTATCTTTATCATCATCATCATCTCTCTCTCTCTTTCTTGACCCCCTTTTCCATGATAAAGACTCGTATTCAATCAGCCGTTAATCTTTCATCTTCTCACTTCCTTTTCCTTAGTTACTTTTTTGCCATGAAAAAGTATCTCAAGAGATGATGATCTACAAAGATGATATATAAAGATGAAGATGAAAAAAAACTTTTATCCTTTAATTGAAAGTTTATTTGACCAATCAATGTAACTAATGTAACAATTACCCGAGATAATAACAACAAGATGATCATCATCAATGTAACAGTTATAATATGATACCAGTGTTTACCAATTAATTTATATATTAGTTTATAAAAATATACTAAACACAACAATTTAAATGATTCCAATTCCCCATTGAAATAACTGATATCATGAAATGAAATATCAAACGATAACAAATTGAATTATTAAAGTTATTACCAATAGCATACAATCATAAACCTCAATATCCTAATCACTAATCCATAACAAAACCAATAGTTAATCATTTCAAATCTATATCCATACCATATAATATAAATAATGACACACTAATTAAAGAGATCAAGTTAATCAACAATCAACAGGTTCTCCCATCAATCAATCCAATGATAATATGAAGGACAACACAATGACCAACTGAAAGCTCAACAAATACTAAAAAAAATGACCAAATGAAAATCATTTTTTTCCTCATCCAAACAGGGAAAATATTTCATCCTCATCCTCATCCTCATCTTCCCACCTCCCAAAATCCACTCCTCATCCTCATCTTCATCCTATTTCTTGCCTGTTACACCTTTTTTATTACTATGATGATGACGATGATGATGATGATGAATGAATCTCACTCAGTCATCATCATTATAATAGTAAGTTAACAACAGAGATGATAACTCAAGGGAGTGAAAAAAAGACAAGGAGGAAAAGTCAAGAGTGAAGATAAGTGTGAATAAGCTTGTTTTTTATATTCTCATATGATGATGATGAAGATGAAGATGAGAAGAAGAGGAAGATAAGAGTCCGATATTGTATCATCAGCATCATCCTTTTACTTTTCTCTCATCCTAATTATCATCATCATCTTCATTGTCTGCAACAAGTATACCATGTCTTTCGTGAATGAATTAAATGAAGTAAACAAAAAAACAATTTGCTTTGATATTTAGTTCACCATCATAATCAACAACACTGGAATCAACTGATTAATTCAACTTGAACAGATTCAATTAACAATTTACTATCCTAATCACTGTTTATCATAATAATTTACAGTTAACTATAATTAACACTGTAAAGATTATCATTTTAATTGTTTCCATTCATTTTTTTTTTCAAAAAAAAAACACAAAATTATTGATCAGAAAAGTTTTTCTCAACTAATTCCTAACAATTTGCTACTAATTAATTACACTATTTTGTTGATGTTGTTGTTTTTTTTACAGTTCTAATTAATTGATTGATTGATTATTGTTTGGTAATTAATTTGATGTTATTATCATCTAATTGAAAACATTGATTTACACTTTAAAATGAATCCATTATTAACTAATCAATTATAACGGTAAATCAATTTAACTATGAGAGTGATGATTTAAAACCTGTTGCAATTTAATTTGATTATAAAGTGAGCATGGATTGAATTAAGTTATAATAATAATGGAAATGTATGAAAGTGAAATCATCTGATGATTTACCTTGTAAATTGTTACAATTAACTGATTTTTAACTGAATTAAAGGGAGAAAAATTTTTACTCCCTATTAATTGTATATTATCAGTTCACTTGAAATTGGTTGACTTTTTTTTTGTCCCCAAATATCAATGACAGTACACTTATTGTCAAGAGAGATTGAGAAAGAGGGTGGGGTGGGTATGAGGGTATGATGATAGGTGGGAAGAGGAGGAGGAAGAATAAGAAGATTGAATGATGAGGAGGGAGGTAAAACTCAGGGAGTGGGTGAGATTAGAATAACATTTAACCCAATATAATGCGCAGAGTGTTTTGTGGTGTCACATGATTATACGTGATCTTCAGGAGCTTAAGATGATGATGATGATCATCATCATCATCTCTTTCTTTTTTTTCTTCATTCTATAAATCTTTTCTTCTTTTCATCACATGAACAAGCATCATTCCCATATTATTATCATCCTCATCTTCATCCTTATAAGAATGCTCTTGGAAGAAAGAAAGAGATTCTGAAGAAGATGAAGAATAATGAAGATGAGGATGATGATGATGATGAAGGATGAAAAGGAGTGTGTATGTGTGAGAGTGAGAGAGAGAGAGAGAAGCCGGTTCAATGGACTTATAGTCTAGTGTTCATGATTCCGTCAGATAGTTGTGGCCTTGCTTTCGAGCTGAACACTTCTTCCTCTTCCTTTTTCTCATCATCATCCATCTCACTCACTTGCTCTCTCATTATCGTCTCCCTCTCTCACTCTCTCAGTTTTATCATCAACTTTTCGCCACCTTTCATGATAATAATTCAAAAATCTTAGTTCTTATCCAATGTTCCATGAACACATAACTCCAAAGAATCAGAGACGAAACAACAGTTTTCTTTTTCCTAGTGATAAATTTTTTCTTTTTCTCATCATCTTCATCATTATCTTCCATCTCTCCTTTCCTTTCTCTCTCTCTCTTCCACTGTCCAGCTTCAGTTTGGTCCCACCGGTCAAACTAAAGATCAAGACTCTCAGTAAACTCTGATTATCTACTTTTACTATTTGATTTCCTATTACAAACAATTAAAGTTAATTGTTCACCAAAATTCACCATTTTCATGTGAGCCTGTTACATCAAAATGGTAAGTTTTGATTTAATTATTTTCTATTGAAAAACAAACTAAATCATTAACTCAACGAACTAGTTTATTTATCTGGAAAACTGTTAAGCTTTGATTGTCCAAACGCAATTCTTGTTAATTAATCTAATCCAAGAACTGTGTGTGGACATCAATGCTTGGCATAAGATCAACTTGAATTAAGTTTAATCACAATCAAAACTAAAAAAATCTAAATTCAAATTACAAGTCCAACTAAATGTTAACAAACTAATAGAGAAAACAAAACTTGAACATCCCAATAAATTGATTCCAATTATTGTAAAATCATCATTTGAATCTTCATGAACATCGATTAATCCAGAAATTGATCATCTCATTTTCACCTCTATTCAATTTCATCACCAACTCTGAGCTCTCCCCAAATGATAATATTAATATTATTTTTCGACTCCCTATTCATTGATGATAAAAATGAGATACTGATGAAAGTGAAAGTAAATCACACCCTTGGATGAACCTGGAAGATGTCACACAAGGTTCTCATCACCCATTCCCACCTCGACATGAACTTCCACCCTCCAGATTAACTCACTCTCCAAACTCACGTATTCACTTAACCTTTTGTAGTAAATTCATCTAAATCTATCTAGTTCAAATCTCATATTCTCAGAAATCTTCCCACCATCACCACCTCTGATTCCCACCTCTCTCTCTGTTTATTATTACCTCTCTCTCTCTCAAATTTCATCATCATCATCATCCTCATCTTTTAGCATCTTCATCCAATTTCAATTTTCTTTCATCTATTTTTTTTTCTTCTTCAATTATTATTTTTTTTCTCTCCACAATTTTCAAATATCCTCATCATCCTTCATTCACCTTCATTCATCAGCTGAAAAGTATTTATCATCACCATATCATCATCTCTTTCATTATCATCTTATTAACTTAATCATCATCATCTCTTTCACAAATGATCAACAATACAAATTAATCCCCAATAGACAGGACAAAGTTTAACACCTAAAAGTAAGTTTAACAATATAAACCAACAATTAATTAACTTATCATTCATCATGATGATCATTATAACCATTGAACAAAAACTAATCAATATCCAAACAAATTACAAATTGAATTAAATTAAATACTTACACCAATACAATTAACTCGCTCTCATATGTATTAATAATGTCAACAACAATTAACTATTACCAATCAATAACTAATGTTTTATAATTAAAGTGAATAAGCTTTCCTAACAATTTCAATTGTTATCAAGTAAAAATGAAAACACTGATCATCTTGAATTTGATTAATGAAAAATACAATCAAATTTATAACAATTAACGTGTTGATGCATTTAACTAAAAGTTTAATAATATATTATCATCATGATGGTGATTAACATTTCATAACAATTTACAATGTGTATTTAATATGGTAATTACAATGGATATTAACATGGTAAATGTATGTTACCATGAACAAGAATCAAGAAAAAAAAATAAAGTTTTCATGATAAGATATTCAGATGAACAAGAAAAAGGGAAAAGTTGGAATATAAATAAATGATAATCTTAATCTGGTAACCTGAATAAACCATGAACTTTATCATTAATCATTAATCATTTGAAGAAATATTAAAAAAAAAGGTTATATTTGATTACGTTAATTGTTGATAATCAGGTAAAGGTGAAAACCACAATTAGATGATAATCATTGATGAAAATGACAAACGGGTTGAGCTATTTTTATGCTTCAACTGATCAACTGATTAGATAATCGGGATAATGATGATATCATCATGATGATCAATTGAATAGTGATGAGGATGAAGATGAGGATGAGGATGAGGATGAGGATGAGGATGGATGATTTTTTTGTTTCTTCTTCAGATGAAATCAAGTTGATGTATCGTTGACAGTTGACCATGATGACGATGATGAGATTTCTCATTAATTTTAACCTAGAAACTTAATAGATACCCAGATGATGATGATGATGATGATAAGGATGATGATGAGAGAGAGAGAGAGAGTTTTCTTGACATGAATCAATCTTATAAAAACAATTGATTCCAATGGATCAGGTTCATTGATAAAAGGTAAATATTAGTTGTATGAGTTACTACAAATACTCATTGATTAGCTGATTGATTGTTAATTGTCGTTATTATTATGAATCATTTGTGGTTTGAAAATGATAAATTTTTAATTGAATACTTTTCCTTTAATTGTTTCACATTAATGATTGAAAGGTAATTACAATTAGCAAGAAGCAAATAGTTTAATCAGGATGAAGATAATTGTAATTCAGATTATGATAAACAAAAAAATGAACTTTTTTTTTATTCTTTTACTGTTTAAATCAAAATGTGAAAGTTAATTGTTAAAGGATTGACAAATTAGAGGATTTAATGATTAACATGATAATACCAAAAGATTATCATTTAATTTGGTTGCATATAACAATCAGAGTAAAGGTAATCATGATAATACCTTTGAGATGATCATTTTTTATCATGATCAATATTAATTGTTACCTTAAGTTTATCAATAGGTGAAAATGATATAATAATATTTACCAATGGATCTAATGATTTACTGATTGTGATTTTGATCAACCTTTGATTGTAATTACGAGTTAAGTTAAATTGATTAACCAAAGCTTATTAACAGAATCTTGGAAGTGGAAAGTTAATTGATCATATTTTGAGGTAAATCAATTGGATCAGAATCTTTGTTTTGATTGATCAAATGCTTCCGGTTGAATGTGAATTTCCTGATGATCATGATAATAGTTTCATCTCATTTTCAATAGAAATGTTTATTATATGAATACATTTATTATTAGAACTTTTTTCCTCAACATATTCGAGAAATAAAATTGTCGATAAACTTTTTTTTCTTTGTCAACATTTTCACAGTTGGAGAGATGAATTAAAATGTATTACATTTAAGATTATGATACATTTAATTGTGATAATGTGTCGAGAGTGATTATTAATCATCTAATGGTTTTCTAACAATTAACTATTGATCATTTAAGATCAACAATAATTCAAGGATTCCATGTGGCGATTAACATTGAAAACGGTAAACAGGAAAAACTATTCAACTAATCATTAACAGTGATTTTAGCACAATTAACACAAGATGAAATCACAATTAACCGGTTGATTATTGTTACAATTAACATTGGTTAACAATATAAAAAAAATTGATCATTCCAACAATCAATGATGATGATACAAGTTAATTGATTTGAATTACAAGATAATACCAAATATAATTTAAGCAAATCAATGTTATATTAATACTCAATTGTAAATTCCTTGATATTTAACAATAATTAACTTATTGTGATTACAATTGCAATTTGATGCTTGGGAGATGATTATTATATTGTTAACCAAGATTGTATTTGCATTTTGGTGATAAACAATTAAGGTTATGTAATGAAATTAAATATTCAACTGTGAATAAATATTATCATGATGATACTCAATGCAAAAACTATTGATTATATTCATAGGTAAACATTTGATTACCATGTAAGGTATTTACATTATATCATTATAATTGTATTAGTGAATCAAAGTGTTAATCATTGAAATGAAATTTACAATGAATGTATAATGATGATGAAGATGATCAATAAATGAATGATGATTAACGATAAATATACCCAAATGATAATGATAATGATGATACAATTTTCTTGAGTATCAGTAAATTTCATCTTGGTTACGAATACAATTGACTTGAAATTCCGGTTCCATGGTTATTCATTAGGACTAATAGCCTAAAGAAATTGTAATCATCATCATCATCATCATCATCTTCGTCTTCATCCTCATCTTCATGGTAATCATTTCTATTTCCACCTTATTATCACAATCATCATTCATCATTCATCATCTTTATCATTATTATTATTATTATTATCATTTCCTGATCACAAATATAATATTTTCATAACAATGATAATAATTATGTGATGATGAGGATGAGGATGAAGATGATGATGATAACAATACAATAACAATGATAAAATAAACAAGAATCTTCAAGATAAGATTACAGGGGAGACAGAATTGAAAATCATAACAGAAAGTGTTATATGATTGGGATGATGTTTGATTATCCAGGTAATTGATTTGAAAATTAATCAGTTTGACAACTTTTTTTTTTGTTAATCACAATTGTCAAGGTGAATTTTGTTTATCATCAAATATCAGGGTGATAATCAGTTATCAATGTTAATGGAATCATGGAAAAACTTATCCATCTTCATCTCTAATTTAGTGAGAGGCAACAGGGAAAAAAACTCATGGAAACTCATGAAAAACTCATGAAAAACTCATGGAATGTGTTTGAATGATGATGAAATTCAAAATAATAATAATGAAGAAAAAATTTCATTAGATGTTCATGATGATAATGATGATTTTTCCTCCATTCAACTGGAATCATCTTTGTCAATCATAACTCATTTATATGAAAGAATAAGATGAAAACTATTAGAATTCTGAGAATTCCGAGAATTTTTCTCAACTTTGGAACTTTTTTTTTTCTTCTCTTCTTGTGACCTTATCACGGAAACACAACAAAAGTTTTCCATGATACCGACGATAATGAACATTATTATAATACAATAGGTTAGAACCATCAACAATTTAGTTAAATATCAATGATCAGGTTAATCATTATCAATTCCATTGTCATCATCATTGTTATTAAACTTTTTTTTCCTTGGTAAATTTTTCTCATCCTCTGTTATTATCCTATTGAGAATCTTCATCATTTGATTACCGACTTTAAGATGATGATGGAAGATGATAATCTTCATCACCACCACCACCACCATCAACACCAACATCATCTTAATCATTATTCACCGATTCAACTCTGTGTTTTCTTTCAATGATAATCCATAATTGTTAATTGTTAATCAACACTCGTGATTAACCCTTGAACTTGTTGTAACTTTTTTCTTACCACTCTGAAAGTTATATTACTTAATCATCCTTCATTTAATTGTTCAATTTAGATGATTAGTCTTTTTGTCTATGGAGAAAGGGAGAGAGAAAGTTAATTGTTGACAATTTTAACTTTTTTTCAATTGTTTTCACTTTTGTGTTCGGGATTCTGTAACAATTAAATCAAATTGGAGCTGTTCATTATTATGAATTTAATTGTTTTCTCACTTTTCATTATTCTCTATATTCATCTTCAATCATCTAATTGTAACGATAATCATGATAATAGTAATCGGGAACATGTTCATCTTCATCATTCAAATGTAACTCTCGATTCCTCATCTTCATTCAAATCTTCAATTCCTTTATCATCTTCATTATCGACTGGAAAGTTATCATCATCATCGTCATCAGATTCCTTGACCAATATAACTTATTTTCAAAGTCCATTAGATGATCGGGATAATTATCACCTTTTCTGGTCAATTGATTACGAGGCGAAAATCGTTGATTTTGAAGTGAGAATTAAATTAAGACGAAAGTTAAATTGGTTTGCAATTGGATTGTCCGATCATGGGGAACCAATTAAATCTGATCTGTGTATCTTTTGGACTGATCCTTCAGGTAAACACCATTTCCAGGTAAGAATTGAATAAGATAATTAATTCAAATTTGGTTGATTGTATTTCAATACTTTTACCATTATTGTAAATTAATGAAATCAGGACACTTGGACCGATGATAAAGGTTACGTTAATTTGGATAATCAAAATGATTGCCAGTTAATTAATCTTCAATCAAATGGTAAAACGATTCGTTTCTTGTTCCGTCGGGACTTTGATACTTGCGATGATAATGATCGACCAATTGAAGATGGTACTAATAATATCGTTTACGCTGAAGGATTAGGACCAATTAATCATGTCTATGGATTAAATATCTATAAGGTTAAACATGGATTCCAGAGAGTTCAACTGTTGAAAACATTGGGGTCAGTTCCAAGTTTACCCTCGGATACCAAGATTCTTGATGTGGTCACTATCAATACCCAAATACCATCAGAGGAAACAACCTATTGGTGTAAATTGGTCAAATTTCCGGATGAAATTAAACGTAAACACCATATAATTAAGTATGAGGCCAACGTACAATCGGGTAATGAGGCTTTAGTTCATCACATGGAAATATTTCATTGTCAAGTTGACCCTCAATTAGAATTGCCCTCATGGAATGGACATTGTCATGATCCGGATAAACCACCGATTCTGGAAGCATGTAAACAAGTGCTCTCGGCTTGGGCTATCGGAGCGGGGGTAAGTCTCAATTACGATCAATTCAAATTTCCAACTTTCCAAAAGTTCAACTTATACAATTTTTATTAGACCTTTTCTTTGATGATTTTTAATTCTTATCAACGAATTTAACTTGGACGATTAACTAATTCGTCTATTGATTGTTTCGTTTTTTCTTCTCCTGGTCTATTGTTTCATCTTAGCCATTTTCTTATCCACAAGAGGCTGGATTACCTTTCGGTGGAGACAATTTCTCACTTTATGCCATGTTGGAAGTTCATTATAATAATCCGTCGAAATTGTCAACAATTAAAGATAATTCTGGTATTCGTCTCTATTATACACCAACCTTGAGAACTCATGATGTTGGTGTTCTTGAGGTTGGATTAACTTATACGGATAGAAATTCAATTCCTCCCGGTTTAGAGGGTTTCACCTTATCGGGATTCTGTGTAGCTGAATGTACCAGAATCGGTTTACCTTCAACCGGTATAACAATTTTCGCATCTCAGTTGCATACCCACCTAACTGGTCGTAAAGTTTGGACCTCACATTTTAGAGGTGGCATTGAATTAGCTGAATTAAATAGAGATAATCATTATTCTGCCCATTTTCAAGAGATTCGTGCACTTAAACATCGTATCCAATTGTTACCCGGTGATGTGCTCATTAACAATTGTCTTTATGATACATCGAAACGGGAGAAAATAACACTCGGTGGTTATGGTATTTCAGATGAGATGTGTGTCAATTATATGCACTATTATCCTCGATCGTCGTTGGAAGTTTGTAAATCGTCGGTTGATCTTTCCGTGTTGAATAGTTACTTTGATTACTTGAAAATAAACGAAGGTCAAAATACTTCCTCAGGTCAATCAGTTGCCGACAATTATCATTCTATTCAATGGACACCCTATCGTTCTCGATTTTTAGCCAAATTATATTCGCTTAGTCCACTTTCTATGGAGTGTCGTCGCTCGGATGGTCTTTTATTTCCAGTAAGTTTCTCTTTATCTCTTGAATATCTAATTGTTTTTCCATCATAATATTAATTGTCTCTTCTTTTTTTTTCTTCATTCAAATTGTTCCTTTCAGGGTGATTGGGATGGAACTCCTTTGCCCGAAATTAGAATCCGATTGAAACCAGAAAATCCATGTTCCCACCATGAAGAATCACTATTTTCCAATGATAATTAAAAAAGTTTTTTCTTTTTCCTATTAATTAGAAAGAGAAAATAATATTAATCAATAATCATAAAAAAAAGAAAATAAATTATCAACAATTTAGATGTTTAAAAAGCAATAATTATTGATAGAAAATGAAAACAATTTAAATTGTTACTGTTGAATAATTTGCACTTGACGGAAACACTGAATTTGTGATTAACAATTTAAATGTAATAATGATACACCAATAAAATGAGTTAATAGTAATAATGAAAATGTTATTTGACTGATTAAAAAAAAAATTTAATCCAAATGAAAATGATTAAGAAAATTACTTAAATCAACTTACTTGTTATATTAATTGTTGGACATTTTAACTTTCGACACTTTTTCATTCACATTGATTGAGTAAATTTGTTTCCTCGTTGATTGTATTGGTGATAATAACTTAAATTATCAATTGCTGTTGAAATATCAAGAAACGTGATTATATCAAAATTAAACCAATTGATTCAGTATCGGTTTTTTTTTCATACAGATAAAAAAATCAACAGGTAATCAAACAGAATCAAAATCCATTGAACTTTTTTTTGTTCGTGTTCCTGTATCATAATCATGGATCTCTTTTTTTTCTGATGATTGTAATAGTTGATAAATTGTGTGATTTGAATTTAAGATTATCAAAGTATGGAAAGGTAATAATAACGGTTACCGATTAGCTTATTTGGGTTTCCAATTGTATTTCCAAATCATTTATATATATAAATGTCTTGATCGTTAATCATCTTGAAATCTTGCGGATTTTGAACACTTTGATTCATTACAACAACAATTAAACTGTTGATTATCACGTTTTCTCATGATTAGTGTTTTTTTTTATTCAGCGGTGTAAAGTTTTAACATGTCTTCCTCAAGAGGATGTAGGTTACCTTCAATCACTAGGGAGTGTAAAGGTTTACCTAAATCTTTATCGACCATTTCAGACAATTTACATCTAATTATGGTTTGATCATCGGAACCAACACGAGCAAGACCAATACAGAAACTATTTGGGCTGAATGAATGTTCAATATTAGAATCGCCAGTGACACCGATTGTGTTTGATTCCATTTTGAAACAATCAACAATTTGAGAAGCTGCTTGGGAGGCTGTCATGAATCGTGGTGGTTCATAAACCAATTTACCTTTCATCATGGCTTCAAGTGATTTCTCTTTAACTTTGATATCTGACAAAAATCAAAGAATATCGGGAAAAAAAATAGATTATTAAATAAAGGATTTTGTGATAGATGGAAAATGAAAAAAGGATAATTCTATTAGGATATCAAACCTAAAAGACAAAGTGTATGGAGTCCTCTGGATTTATTGGAGATTATTTTTTCCATGAAACTATTTGGTTTCCATGTATCGGTCCACAGTGGGATAGAGACAGTTTCACCGAAATTATATAATTGAAGGCCACAACAACCGACAGCGTTCATAATGGAGGCATTGTGAATGATCTTGTACTTGATGTTCCGTTGGATCGCTCGTAAGATTAAATCTGTATGAGTTGTTGCTCTGAAAGGAAAAACAATCAAACCATAGATTAGTAAACAATGAACAATAATACAAATGATGGAGAAATTGAAAATCTAAACAATTACCCAAGAGGATCACCAACAACCAGAAAAGCGGCATCACTATTAACCGAATCATCTAGAATTTTATCCGCTTCACTTTCAACCATTTCCCGGTCAGCAAGTATCACCTTTTTTCCGTAAAATTTTTCCTTAAAAAAATGACCCAGACACAATATATAATAAAGAGATAAGATAGAGAGAAAATTAGAAGAGAAAAAAATTTTAAACAATCAACAATTAAAGACAATTAATTTTTTTTGAAGAGGAAAATAAAAGCTTACAAGTTGCTCCATGTTATCAGATACATTATACAAAACTGAAGTATAATGTTCCAGGTAAATATGATCACATCTCTTGACAATCTCGAGACCTTTAACAGTTATATCAGTTAAATCACATAAACCAAGACCAATTAGAAATAACATAATAACAATTAAATCAACAATTAAGAAGGAGTAACAAAAAGTAAAACAATTCAATTTTCAAAGAAAACAACAGATGATCAAAAGTTTCTTTTCGCCGCCAATAGATGTCGCTTTTATCGAATTTCGTATAAATCAATTAATTATCTTTTCTTAATTATTTACAGTTAATTGTAGTTTAAATTGTTGATATTAATCAACAAGAGAGTTTATTGTTGATATGATTAAATCAACTGAGAGAGAGAAAAAAAAGTTTAACTGATTCGATTGATAAAATTTTCTCACCAATCGTTTTGGATCTTGAAAATTTTGTTATTCAATATTGATCAACAATCAGTTGATTGTTGATCAACAAATTAAATCACAATTATTTGAACTTCTCAGTTGTCTAGATCAGTGTAACTGTTAATCAATGTTTGTTATTTGTTTGTTAATTGTTTGTCGATAATTGATTGGATTGGATTTTGTAATTTGAGCCAAAAAGTTTGATTGGAAAACAAAAAGTTAACCTCAACTAATTAACTATTTGCACAATTAACTAACCAACTTTTATTAAATTGTTACTAAACCCGTAATCTTTTTAATCACTTAACTCACAACTTTTAATAATAATTTAACGAAAAAAAAAGTAAAGTTGATTAGCAACGTGATTAAAATTGATTGGCATTAATTGGATGCAGAGAGAAAAAAATTAGAAATTATTATTTCGTATTCATCAACAATCAACTGTGATTAAATTGTGATTATAATCAAGTGCAAGTTGGTAAATAATCAAGTAAATCAGTTTTTAATGAAAGAGAGAAAACAAAATGTAATTAAAAATTAACCGAAAGTTAATCAAAATTATTATTATTTACATTTCCTTAATTGTTTGACCTCAAACTTTTTTTTTCTCACTTCAAATTGTCCGTCTTTTTTAACAATCAAGAAACAATTTAAATTGTTGTAATTGTAATTAACACTTTTTTCACACCAATTTTTTAATTCTCTATCTTCTTAATTGTACACATTAATACGATTACAATTAAAAACAAAATTAATCTAATAAACAATTTAAATCGTAACGAAAACCTTCAAAATCGGATTATCTATTTTCATTACAATTAAATTTGAATGTCAACAATTTAAACGATAATCAAGAGAGAAACATTTAATTATTATTATTGTATTGACTTTAAATTGTAACACTTTCAATTAAAACTTTCAAACTAACCACTAATTAACTGATAATATTTAAATTGTGAATCAAATCAAAGGTAATCAAGGTAATTCTAATGTGTAATTAATAAGGTATGAAAAAATAGCTGATTAGTTGATTAGTTGATTAGTTTTGATTAACATGGAATCGGAAACTTTAACCAATCATTATCGATAAATCAAATTGATTAATAAACTTTTCATCCTTATCATCATCTTCATCTTCATCCTCGTTATGAATAAAGGGAAAGTTGGATGATAATGATGAAAGACAAGGTGATGAAGTCCGAACTCGAATTCAGAACTTTTTAGAACTCGTTTTTTGACCTACATTTTTAGGGACCATTTTTCCGATATGGTTTAATTGCTTTTCAAATTTACTCCCTTTTTTCAAGGAGGAAGATGAAGAGGGAGATGATGATAATGACGATGATGATGATGATGATGATAAAGGAGGAGGAGGAGGCGGGAAAATCGTTACAAGGAGAAAGAGAGAGAGAAAAGGTAATGAAAAGAAGAGAAAACTTTTTTTCTCTCATTTTTCATCTTCTCTCTCAATCGAATTCATTTCTCCCCTTTTCATCCTCCTTCTTTAAGCTTTACACTTATCATCATTATCATCATCATCATCGTCTCTCTCTCTCTCTCTCTCTTTCTCCATCATCATCGATTCTGGTTGGACTTATTTACCTGTTGCTGTTTGACCAAAGCAAAGAAAACTTGAAATCGAAAATTTTTTTTCTTTTTATAATTTAATCAAAAAGCTTTAATTTTGTTTAATTTAATTGTTTCATCCACCATTAAACTAACACACATCTCAGTTAACTAAATACCAATATTATCATCAAGTTAATTGTGATTAACCATTAAATCCTCGGATTATCAAATCTCAGTGTCCAACCAACAATAATACAAGAAACAAAAGACAACTGACCAATTGGATTTAAATTGTTTACCTTAATTATCCTCTTATTTCAAGCAATTAATGAGCAACGGAAACTTTATATTATGTCCGAAAGTTTTAATTGTTGTTGAAAATTGATTTTCTCTCTCTATCTCCCTTTATTTTCACAATCAAGTTCATCTTATCAACTTTAATTTAATCACAATTAAAAAGTTTTAATTATGATCAGTAGACGTAAAATTTTATCTCGATCACAAAGTGACATTGATTATCCATATGATGCTTATGCAGTTGAAGAGGATATTTGGTATGACAAGGAAAATCTTTACACAGTAAGTAACAATTAACTAATTCTTAATTGTTGTCATAATTATATTTCTCTCATCTAATGTTAACATGATGACAATTGAAGCAAATTTAATGATTAAACAATTATTCAATTGTTGGTGTCAACTCGTTCAACTGTCAATACTTATAATATGTACACACCTTTTTGATTTAACTCACGTTAACAATTAACTTTGTTAAAGTTTATTGATCATCACAACAATTAAGGTGAAATGATATTGATTATTCAATTGATATAATTTAATTGTTGTATATCAAATCCATATGAAAGTTATAATTGTAAAACCTACATGATAATGATCATCTGAAAATTATTTTTTCTGAATAATAATTTTATTGATTAGTAACAATTAACTTTCAGCAAACAATTTAGATTAACTATCAACAACACACCTTAATTGTTACCATATAAATCATAGTTTTGTTGACAATTATAATATGAAACAATCATTATAAAAGATTTGAGTTAATTTGTTTAATTTTCAATCAATAATCAGCTGATTTGATTCAATTGAAACAATTTCCGGATTAATTTTAATTGTTATAACAAATTATTTACAAAAATAACAATTAATCACCTTGGATATAAAAAATTAGATGGACAGTTAAACTATTAAATATCAATAATGATTAGTTAATCATCTCAATCAATCATTATTTTTATTCAATTCCATCATAACAATCAGATTGATTAGTAATTATTTTTTTCTTCTTGAAAGAGAAGAGAAAAAAAATTCAATCACAATTAAGTTTAATTGTTATCATCATGATTATTTACATTATTTACCAGCTACCGGAAAAGTATAAGAATCAGATAAAATGAGAAATTATTAGTAACCAGGAATTAGGTTATTGAGATGACGACAATTTAAATTGTTGATTTGAGACAGAAAATTAATATTAATAAATGATGATAATTCAAAAATCTCAATTTCCAACCATTGAATATGAATGATGTTCAATTTTTGTTTGAAGCTTTTCAATCCAAGGTAAAAGTTCATATACTTTTTCAAGTTTTCATGATATTATATAAAAAAAGGTGATAAACAATGAAAAGGTAAACAAGATGATGATGATGATGACCTAACTTGAAGATAACAAAAGATGATGATGATGATGATGATGGTGATTAGGATGATTATGACAGTTAGAATTTTTTTTGTCAAACTTGTTTGATGCTCACATAACGGATCAGGAAGAAAGAGACAGGGTAAGACAAGATAGAGAGAAAAGAGAAAGAGAAAAAGGTGATGAAGAAGATAGAGAGATGATAAAGATGATAAGGATGATGATGGAGAAAGTTGAAGATAATAGGTTGGTGCTAATACGCTGGTGATGTTGAAGGACTTTGCCAAAAGAAGACAAAATAATGAAAGAAGGTTAAAAGAATCTCTCTCTCTCTCTCTCTCTCTCTCTCTCTCTCTCATCTTTATCATCCTCATCATTTTTATCATCATAATCATTGCTCATCACCTACTTAGTTTTGTTTTCTGTCTGAATAGAAATGAAAATGAATCCTAATCAGAATTTTTTAGAAAAAGGCAAATCTCAAACTTTTGCCTTAATTGCGACAATATAATCAATTAATCTCAACAATTAACTGATCATTCACAATAATTAAATCAACAGTTTGACTATTATGCCAAACTAATTGAAGAAGAAACAAAAAAAAACCATTTAATTCAAGTGAATTCTCAAAACAATTAACATTGACAGTTTCCATTTCATTCAATTATCTCCAATACCGTTCTTATGATTTATTGATTGTGATTCTTTAATCATTTAATTTAATGACAATGATTAACTTAAAGAAAAGTTTATTATCATCATGTCATTGATTTTCATAGTTTAACACAGTTGATCATTAATCCATGATAAAAGTGATTATTCAACAATTGACAAAATGATTTTCTAGTCCATTGAATTTTCAATACGATTCCGAAAAAAAAAGTCTTTCTCCTCATCACCATCTCCATCATCTTGTCATCTTGTCATCACCAACTTTATCTTCATCGATATCATCATAATCATCAATTGTTTAGTGATCGAAAAAAAAAATAATAAGTTAATTGTGATTAGTTAATCAATGTGGATCAGTAGAAAAAGGATTTTACGAAATATCTTCTCGCAAACGAGAAGACGAAAAGATCATCATTTTTGTGATGAAGATGAAATTTGGGATTATTTTGATACTTTTGTCTCGGTAAGATGAACATCATCATCCTAATCATCTTAATCATCCTTTTAATCACCTTAATCACCTTAATCATCTCTCTTAATCTGTAATCACAAATCCGAGAAAAAAAAACAAATCCAAACCTCAAAATGTAACCATTTATATAACACCAACAACAGTATAAAAAGATTTGGTTACAAAGTTTTTTACTCACTAATCATTATCTTAATTGTCAACAATTAAATCTAATTGCTGATTAAGATAAAGATAGTTAATCTTTTCAATTAGCTGATCATTGATTCAGTTGCATTTGATTGTTTCTGTTGTTTTTTTTTCAGCTCTCATTTGTCTAATTGTTTTCAACTTTTTGTTTACTTTCGGTTCAACAATTAACTTGATTTGGTTTCTTTCATTGATTTACTTTAATTGTTGCTGTTTACAATTTAATTTGATTACTATCAATGACCCAGGAAGATTGTTAATTTAACTTTCTCCCTTCTAAATGGAAAAGTAATTTAATTAACTTTCTCGAATTGTTAATTGTGATTCTTCAGCAATTTATTTAAGTTAATCAGTATGAAGAAAAAGTAAATTATTATCAACATTTAATGTTACACTGTTAACTAAATTAACTGTTGATTGTGATGAATTAAAAGTTGCCCTTTAGTGATTTGATTTACAGCAATTTGATTTTATCATTAAAATTATTTATTAATTGCTGGCTAATTTATTTATATATCTTTTTGATTGTTGTCCTAAATTATCATAATTTAAGTAATCATTTCCTAACCTTTAACAATTAATATGTTAAATTAGTTAATTTAGTTAATTGTTCACTTTAGGTGGTTATATTAATTGTGATTATAATTTCAAATTGATTTCCATCTCTCTCAATATGGTTTCTATTATTATGATTAGCAATTAATTGTAATTGTTATTGTAATTTTTAGTCTCATTTTTATCAATACCATTGATTTGAATGGTTAATTGTAAATGATTAAGTTAAATACTGTTACTATTATATTTTCAATTGTTGGGTTGATTGATTCACTTTGCTATCTTTAAATTATTTTCCAACAATTAAACCCTTTTTTTTATACCAATTAAAAACAATCATCACGGTTAAGTAACCATATCAATGATCAATTGATTGTTAATTGACAATTAAATGTCATATTGATAGTTAATTGTGAGACAATTTTTAGCCACAACTAAACTAATAAACAGTTTAATTGTCAACAATTTAAGGTGTTGATTTGGCGAGTCATCAAATTAACTTAATGGTGATTAAAATAGAAGCTCAATTAACAATACAAACAATTAACTTTCACTTTTTTTCATCTAATCAACTAATCAAAACCTTTTAATTACTGATTATCTGTTGATAATGATGAGAAATTATCAATGAGAATTAAAATCTAATTAGGAAATGATTAATTTCCGGGTGCTGAAAATTAACAAAAAAAAGGTGTAAATACAATCAGCAAGAAAATTAACTGTAACCTTGATTAATCAAAGGCAATTAACTTGATTTAGGACAATTAAAATGAAAACAGTACAAACAAATTCACATAATTATTTCATACCAACAATTAACTTTTCACAATAATCAAATTTTTGAAAGCTTATTATCTAATTAAATTGAGTGAGTGTTGGTTGTTTACCGTTAATCAAATTGATTGTATTATTAAGTAGATGTAGGTGTCTTTATTTGAATACCCTTGATTGTTGATAATCAACAATAAACAATTTAAACGATTAGTGGGTGAGATTGAGAGAGACAAAGGGAATCAAAGATTAAGTTAATTGACTTAATATGGTAACAGTTTCAAGGGCCATTTGGAGGGCAAATGATGAAATAAGATGAATGAGATTAAAGGACAATCATGATGATTAAGATGAAGATGAAGATGAGGATGAGCTTATCATCATCTGGACACACCAACGCTTCATATGATCAACATGATGATCATCATTGGTTTTGTATGGGTTTTTGTTACAATAAAAATAAGGCCAAGGTCCTAATTCACATCATCATTACCTTCAAAATGATCATAATCCTTAATCATCATCACTACAATTATGATTAATTTAAATTCACTTTCGTTGGAAACGTTTTTTTTTCAGTAAATTAGTTAATTGTTGTTTCCAATTGTTTCCATTGTTATTTCAAATCCTTTTAAAATCTTATTGATGTTCAACTGTTTGTTTACCTTTTTTGTTGTTGTTGTATTTGACTTTTAGCTTTTCCCTCACACACAATCAACTAATCATATGATTAACTTTGATTTTATCGTAATTAATTTCTCTGTAAACTGATACATTAAACTTTTAGATTAGTTAATTGTTTCGGTTATGTTAACTGTTAGTTGATTCTTATTGATTGACCTGAAGATTTACCTTGTTGTTGTTGTTGTTGACCAGTAAAGGAAAAAAAAAGTTTTAAAAACTTTTACTGATCTTAAAGTTTGATTAGTATTAATATCGTATTATTATCATCACAATCAAATTTAGGTCAAGTTGTTGTTGTTTTTTGTTGTTGATTATTTTGGATTAGATTAAAAAGTTTGGTTTAGTTTATTAACTATTTTAAAACCAATACCCGAAAACTAATAATGATTAATTTTACCTCAACAAGGGCTATAAATATGTTCACGTAAAAAACGTTACCTATTAACTATTAGCGCGTCAAATTATTGAGATATTTAAACGTGCCAACACGTAGTATTTATATAAATGCTCAATTGTGAATTTCGATAATAATTAAATGTTATTATCTAATCAAGTAGAAAGAATTTAAAAGTTTTTTCAAACCATTCGAAACGTGTAAAGTTTATATACAAGTTTGTATATGAATGTTGTTCATGATTATTACTTGGGTTCTAATTGTTGTTGGACTTTTTTTACTCTCGACTTTTTCTTAGGATCATATTCAAGAGATTCTCAAAAAATGGGAACAAATTGACGATGAAATTTGGGGTAAAATTATTTGCATGGAAAGAAATCGTCGAATTGCCAAAGCTTATGCTCGAGTCCCAGTTCTAACGGTATCGGGATCAGATGATGGTTTCGATGGGTTTAAAATTGGACTAAATGGTTTCGATCGAGCTCCAAGTAGAGATCCATTGGTTAAAAGAGTTCGTGATCACATTGGCGGAGTAAGTTGATCGATATTTTCCTGAGAAAATGTTTCTAATCTCATAAGAACTTTTTTTCTTCTTCTTTCTATCAAAAAAAGGGAGTTCGAATCAAAATGGACGAATTCGGTAATATTATAATCAAACGAATGTCACATTGTGATGTTTTCATTCGAGGTTATGATCGAGAATCAAACAGTATATCCAAAGAGATATTGGACTTTTCGGGTGAACTTGAATTCGAGAAATCGGTTAAATTATTTGATATGAAGAAATTTCAATCCGGATTAAGTAAAGAGTTAAGATCAGCTTATCCTGATCGTCGAAGGCTTGAAAATCAATGTATCAACGTGATCGCTTTCGTTAAAGATGCAACCGATGTACTTGACCTTCCAGTTTGGATTATGGTGATTAACATTGTCGCCCTTGATATGCTTAAATCAAAATTACCCCAACAAGGTGAGCAACTCAAACAATAAGATGATAACGATAATCATAGTTAATCCTTAACCACTAATCCTTAATCTTGTTTTGTTTTCCTCCTTCTATTGTTGTTATTAACAGTTTGCTATCGAAATGAAAATGTACCCAAGTTTGTCAATGTCTTCACCAAACCGGAACAAGATGAAGACCCATATTCAGTTCCAAGTTTACCGACAAGTAAACGACCTCAAAACGGAAAACCAATTAATCCACTTTTGGTTAATCATAATAATAATGTTAATCATAGTTCCGTTAATCCAAGTAATAATAATAATAGTGTTATTAGTAATCAAAAGGGAAGTGATACTAAACCACCAGAATTACCGCCGAGAGATTTTGCCAAGATTAAGAAAACGAAGGAGAAAAAAATACCTTCAATGTTCAAAAGTTTAGTTCGAGGAGGTCGAAGTCAATCGAGTAATAATAACAATGTACAATCGAACAGTGTGGTTGCCACACC